CGAGACAAACCTAATAGTTCATGGAACATATCCTAAATGAAACGAAATAGAAAAATCAATTAATGGTTAAAAAAAAAATCGTACTCGAATTTCTAGCATCATAGATTCATTGGTATGAAAAATGAAGAAAAAATATATTAAAATTATCATCTTCTTTTGCAATTTTGAATTTATGAATATCACAAATAATTCATTCTTTTTATATAATATTATTTTTATTTAAAAGTAGAATATAGATGAAATTGCCAACACACTTTACAATATTATTAAAATAAATATAGTACTTATATAAATTTAAAATTATATAAATAAAGATCATGAAAACATATATGATTATTTTAAATTAACAATGAATAAATGTAAATAACTCGTGCTTGTTGATCTATTGATTCTCTTTCAACATTATATAGAAAGACGAGAAGTATATGGACTTCCGCTTGAAAAGGAACATAATTGTTGCAAACTACAAAAACAATCGGATTTAGGATTTCAATATTTCTAAAGTGTTTAAAGTGAGATCAGAGATGAAAGAGCTCGTGTTAATACCTCAAAATTATATTCTTTCTCCTGTCGAGGTTTCTTTCTGATCAAGTTAGCATGTATGTTTTGGCACTCGATTTCTGAGTTTTTTGTTCATATTCTCGATTTCAGTTTGGTTAATTTGCTCTCAGAGTCTCCTATCACCTCTCATGGATAATCAACTTAAAGGATCTACTCAACAAAGACTATATCGATCAGATAAATCAAATCTCTAGGTGAAAGATTTCTCTGGACCTCGAACCGACGATCATCATAAACTCTCTATGGGCATTCAACAAAGACTCTCCATGGGCATTTTTCTTCAATACAATTTGCACTGATAAATTGACTTTTTCTAATCCTCAATTTGTAAACTCAACGATAAATCATATATATGAAAATAGAATAACTCTCTCTCTTCATGTGACACGTGTCTCTTTTTAAGTTTAATATCAAATTAAATTATCAAAATAAAATATCTGTCTATTCATTTTCTCTACCATAATGCTTCATGTTCTTTTCTATGTCCGCTTTCTCCTTTTAGCTTATTATCTAGATTAGAAGTTGTCATCCTCGACGAGGAAAATCTTCATGTGTGGTTTTCTCTTCCCAACTTTGCAGAGAAACTATGATGGTCCCATCATGGAATTTGAAGGGTTTCTTTAGCGAGTTAAACATAGCACCGTCGATTGATCACTGTCAATTTTGTGGATTTTTGGGAAAACCTTATACAATGTTATGTTTGATTCGCTAAAGAATTCATGTTTACTTAATGATGGGAAACAATGACTTTGGGAAGAGCATATTCCTTTATGCGAATATCTCATCTTGTTTGTTGAAGAGTCTTTGATATATTGTTAACATAGTCGACTATATGCATATGTTTGACTTATGTCTATGTGCATCGACAAAATTAAGATGAAGAACAAAAAAAACATATGCTAGAAGCATATAATGAGAAACTTGATATTTTGTAACTTTCAAAACACAAAGGTTTTGTTTTTATAAACGTAAAACATTATATTAGCATATCGTTTCTTTGTTTTACGCAGTGAATCGTGTTTGGTGCGTTGAATTTCTTTAGTTTTTTTATGTCCAAGGTTGATGACAAGCTAGATCACTGTATAATAGTTAGATACAAATTTTTGATGATTTGTAACGAAAAATTTTGTTCTTCTCTATTAAACTTGCTCATGCAATTCTCACCGTGAGCAAGTGGAGATCTATCCAGCGATGGAAGATGGTATTCGATCAATGATACATTTAAGAAGACTCGGGAAAAGTGAACTTTTGTTGTTGATAACCTTATACATCATCATTTCTGATTAGTATCTCAATGATCTAAGCACTTATAAAAGACATGATTTTTCGGGTCTTAAAAACATGGGCTTTGATTGTTATAAGATCTTGAGGGGTTTACATGTATGCAATGGACGACTTCAGTAGAGGAACTATCATGTCAGAGGAGAAGCCAAAAAGATGCAAGTGTAGAGGAACTTGAATAATATTGTCGTCAATGTTGTTTTTCTGCGCTCATGAATTATCTTTCACCTCTTTTATTGTCTTGAAAAAAATTGTTTAGCCGTTAAAAAAAATGGAGGAGAAACATAAAAGTTGATTGGATCGAGAAAGAAGACATGGGCAAAAGAGGAGAGAGAGTAAGTGTTACTTACAAGTACCATCAGCAAACTCGTTTTAGTTATTTCTCTAGTTTTAATTAGTTATTTAATTAAAACTTGGAAAATCAAGCTCCACAAATTTTTAGATTATGTTTAGATTTGTTTTTTTTTTGCTATTATCTTGAACTTTAGGTGTACAAGAACAAACTTTTTTTTCAATGGAATGTTTATATATCTAAAATAAATTAGAAGGTATACATGAAAAAAGAAAACATGCGCAGATATTAGCCTAGTTAAAAATTAAAAGATTAACCACGCTAGTTGAGGAATAAAAGTGAAATTGCGGAGGAAGTCGAACAATTTTCCAGTGGGCAATGGTATTCTAGAAAACTGGACCCATTTCCACCAAATTTTGTGGGTACGAATAAACCGATTCGAAACAAACTAGTAAACCGATCTGAGAAATGCACCGGTCGGTGGGTTTCTTCACGAGATGAGCAAATCCCAGAAAAGGAAACGCCTACACCAAGACGACGGCGACTCAAGAACTCCGCCTAATAAATCCACCGTGGAAGTCGGTGATCCTTACCCTTCGCTTCTTAGACCTACCTCAGAAGAATGTCGAGAGGTAAGGGATGCTTTGTTTTCTCTCCATGGGTTCCCTCCTGAGTTCGCCAGTTATCGCCGTCAGAGACTCCGATCGTTCTCCGCCGTTGATGCGACGACGGAGAAGGAGAGCGAGATTGATGAGAGTGTGCTTGATGGGCTGGTTAAAATTCTTCTTTCTCAGAACACAACTGAGGTCAATTCCCAAAGGGCTTTCGCTTCTCTCAAAGCTGCGTTTCCGAGATGGGAACAAGTAAGCTCTCGAATTTGCATGTTTCTGTTAGAAAATCCTGGAAGATTAGGGTTGTATGATTCCTGATGTTGATATGGTTATGGATTTAGGTTGAAGAATGCTAGACTTTATATTCAATTTCTGGTAGAAAAAGGCATATAAATAGTTCAATCTATCTTCTTCTTTACACTTTGTCCTGGTTCCATTTAAAGAGAAAAATATGATCTTGGAAACAAATTGGGGAATCTGCGAGATTCATTCTCCTTAAGATATGTTTAGAAGTTTTGATTAACATGCATCTTGACATTGTTTAGTGGCTAAAATGTCTGTTGGTCACTAGATTGTATTTAGTGTCAAGATTGACTCACTTATATTGTTTTCGTTATTGATTAGTAGTTAATGTGCTTACAGTCACTTAAATTCTATTCCC